TGGTTATTTCTGTGAAATTCTCCCCTCAGTCCTCCCTGTCCTCTCTTGGGAACATTAACTTAAGTCTCTGGGTAGCCATAGATGATTTCTGCAAGGAAGATACTTAAACTCACCATCTCCCTACTGACTTTACTGCAAAATTGAATGTACATGTGCTACTACTTTCCTGTAAAATTAACTTGAGGAACAGTTAATACTCAGCCTATATTCACTCACTCCAAATAGTTAATGCTGAGAAAACTACTCATTTACATTTACAGGATTCTAAGTTCCTACCTCCTCTTATTGACAGAGGCATACACCCATAACTCAGCACACTCTTAGTGCCATTCCTAGTCAGCCCAGGTTACCTCGAGATTAATTATCTCAGCACCCCATTAATGTTCTACTCTTGGCATACCTTCTTTAAGACCATTCTATATGGAGGTGGAAAAAAAAAAATAACCACCATGGAGAACCAACTTCTTGAGCATAGTATGTATGTGGCAATCCCAGCACTTTGGGAGGTATGGGCAAGAGTTCAAAATGAACCTCAACTACACAGCAAGTTTTGAGACCAGCCAGGACTACATGAGACCTGGATAAAAAAGCACAAAACTGAATAACAAGCATTCTTCCGGCTTTCAAATTCCCTACACTAGCATTAAAAAACGCTTCTTTTGGACATACAGATGAACAACAAACCAGTCCTACCTTTTAATGGAAGCTTAAAGCCTATACTGAATTACCTATGCTTGACAGCTGTTTCAAGATAACATGTGACTCTGCCTCATCTTAAAGACCAACAACAGGATTAGTTCAACTCCTGAAACTGGATCACTTTTGAGAAAACACATGAAAATGCCTCACTATGGTATCAGCCCTCTACAAATGTTCAGGAGAAACTGAAAGGGGGAAGTTACAAGCATTTCAGGCATACACATGCTTGACTAAAGAGACAAAATGTTTATACCCCTGAAAATGGTTTCATTGTAACTATAGTGTACAAGTCCATGCACGTGTAAGTATGACAAATAGTTGACCATCATTTCAGCATTCTATATCTGTCACTTTGTCTATTTGCTAAAATTTACTTTAATCCTCAAATCACTATTCATGGCACTTGGTCATTTAAAGATATACACAAGGGTCAAAAACCTGACTCTCTTGACTTGCATGTCCTTATTTTGACCCTCTCACTGTAAGTGTCCTTCCCATGGTGAGTGTAGTGTCATCTTTTCTCATTTGCTTTTTATTGGTGATTTCTGTGTTTAAAATAGCTCCTGAACACAGTGAGGTCTAGAGTTCACAAGTACAAGGGAGGCTATGATTTCCTTACAAAGAAATCCTGTGTTACATAATCTCCATTTTGGCCTGAGTTAGAGATAATGACATGCTAATGAACCACTAATATACATTAAATAAGGTGTCTTTAAACACAAATATACACACAGGACAAGTCCGACAAAAATGCTGTGAACCATGACTTAAGTGGTATCTAACCTGTTATTTCCCTTAGATGCAATGATTCAGTATCTGCTAAGCCCATGTTCATTCTGACTTTTGGAACACAACTAATTACATAGAGAATGACAGAAACTGGTTTATTGAAAAGACAAGGGGTTACTCTAAATGGAAGGCCTCTTAATACACACCTCAAATGACAGGCAAATCTGTCAATTACTGATTAATCATACTGAAATAAGAACCAGCCTTGTGCTTACATATCCTGCCTAACTTGCAGAATCACTAAGAGTAATGTAAGTACTATTTCAATTGCATATTCTAGAAAGGGAAGACCTGCACATGGGAAGGAAGCCTAGAGAGGCCCTGGCTGCTAAAGACTTAAACCTGGTCCCAGGAGCCACAATGTAAAGACAGGAAATTCCATCTTCAACCTTTGTTTCCACCTACCACTCCATCCCTCATTAAAACTAAGTAAGTAGGTATTTCCAGGTTTTTTTGTTCTTTGGTTTTGGGACAGGGTATCTCTGTAGACCTTCTGTCTTGGAACCTGTTGTGTAGACCCACAGAGATCCACCTGCCTGGGATTAAAGGAGACCACCACCACACCCTAAAATAAATGAGACAATTTTTAATGAAGTAGAAATCAAAAGGTAAATGCTTGCCAAACAGTCATCAGGACCTAAGTTCAGATCCCCAGCTTCTATGTAAAAGCTGAGCACTGGGGTCCTTCAATCACCCCACTGCTGGCAGGAAAGGAAAGCAGGTGGACCCCTGGAGCTCACTGGCTAACTAGCCTAGCAAAACATATGGGTCCAAAGTCTCAAAAATTAAGGTGGAAAGCAACTGAGGAAGACACTTGACATTGTTCCAAATACAAGTGTACACACAGGCATACATGTGCATGCACCCACAGGCACCCAAACATGTACATGTGAAAAACAAACAGTTAAGGCAAAAGCTAGTGGAAGGAAGACACTTGACATTGTTCCGAATACAAGTGTACACACAGGCATACATGTGCATGCACCCACAGGTACCCAAACATGTACATGTGAAAAACAAACAGTTAAGGCAAAAGCTAGTGGAAGCCATGCTTGTTAATAACAACCTGTGTGCAATTTCAGCACTGGAAGGCTGAAGCAAGAGGATGGAAAATGCAAGGCTTGCCTACTAACTTAGTAACTCTGACTCAAAATTTTAAAAGGTAAAAGTCTGGTAATATGGCCCCACCTTCAATCTCTTCTCTACTCTCTCTTACACACACACACACACACACACACACACACACACACATGCGCGCACACTCACTCTATAACACTGATATCAGTGTTTTGTTACTGAGTGTGACATAAGATAGGGCTACATTAAAATTTGCATTCTATTGGTGAAATGTTAGTACTGCCTTAATACCAAATAGAAGATTTAATCTGAAATTCAGTGAGGAGGGTAGCATTCAAGCTACACTTCAGTGAACTACTAAACAACTGAAGGTATAGTGTGTAAGTTAATAGCCACCAATGCCCAACACCTACAGCCCAACTTAACCAACACCTGAAATCCACATGGAATCAAGAGCTAACTAGCAAAGTATGCAATGTGGCAACCTATCAAAACCACTCACAGGTGAGCTCTAGATATCTGGCAATCCCTTCCCTCCACTTCAACCAAGGTTCAGAAAGGGTGACTATTCTGACCAAGTGCTTGCAACACAACGACACACACCCCTGATAATGTAAGTTTGCTTTTCCAGTATTTTATAGACCTGAAACCTCAGCTTTTTCTCGAACTGATTTCCTATTTTTCATAGAATTTCAAAAATACAAGTAGAATCTGTCTTGTTTTCAAACCATGTCAACATCTAACTGGCAAATCAGAACATTGAAACTTTTCCCTACACTTTTTTTCTTGGCTTTATTTTTTTAATCATTTGCTTATCAACAAGAAGTATTTCTCATAGATTTTTTCAACGCATTTCTTAATATCCTGCACTCAAGAATACAAAGTCAAGGCATGCAATAAGAAACCAGAAAGTATTCTCTACAAACCAATTACACCAGAAATACAAAAACTGACGTCTAGCACTTTTTTTAACATGGAGTAGACTTTTTTTTTTTTTGTGACCAGACTGTCATAACTTCTATCAGACAATGAAAGAGCCATCCAAAACCTCACAAGGGAAAGTTAAACTGTTCCACTTCGCCTTTTAAAGTACTAACAAAATGACACACTGGGCGGACAAAAACAGGAGCTTGTCCCAGGGAGAAGAGTCTAAACAACACAGATAAATGCACTTCAAGATTTCTCCCCCCGCCCCCGCCCCAAGCAACCACTTAACTGAATTTGGGGACGATGCCAACACACATACACATTATCTGCATGCATACAGCCATATACTCAGGGGCTTGAGAGTCCTGTTTTGTTTGGGTTTTTAGCAGAAACCAACCCCGTGGCGGCTGCGGGGTCCACTGTCCTGAGTGTCGGGGAGGCTCGGACCCGAGAGCAAGTCAGGACAACCGCCAGAGCCACAGCTGGCAAAGCAGTGTCCCAGCACTGCTCCATCTGACCCTCTAATGAGTCACGGGTCCAATCATGACACCACATCACTTACTGGGACGTCTTCTATTTCTTCCCTCGCGCCAGAAAGAACAGAAACCGATTTCAAACTCCCAGGCAGACAACCG